TGGGAAGATATTGGAAGCATAATGTGTTGTCTAATGGTGGACCCTGCTGCCATATGGCATCACAAAAATTGTGACCAAGTCCCAGGTTGCTGATCTTTCTGCCATATTTACACACAATTGCAGGATCTCAATTATTTCCCTTACTTTGGCAACACACGCTACAGTACATATATCGTTTCTCACTCTTGATCTTTTTTTTATTTATTTATTTTTGGATCTTTATTATTATTATTATTATTACTGTATTATATTTTCGCCCCCGTCATGATGTGGGCCATTATATGTATGTATATGTATATATATATATATATATATATATATATATATATATATATATATATATATATATATATATATATATATATATATATATATATATATATATAGTCATAATGTGGTCCTCTACTGTAAACATATACAAATCCACCCATGCGGGCCTGGTGGAACACATCACAGGAGTGTTACAGCAGCCTCGGGGTGCTACGTGAGGGAGTGTTCCAGCAACCTCGAGGTGTTACGTGAGGGGGTGTTAAAGCAGCCCCGGGGTGCTACAGCAGCCTCGGGGTGCTACGTGACGGGAGGATGTCAGTACTGTTGTGTGTCAATGTCACCCTAACCACCTACTTCCTTTATCTTACTACATTTCACTCATTACATCGATGTACTAAGATAAGTTTCTTTCATCACTTGATATAAATAACACACATCATCTTTAATTACACTGTTTGAGACAGTACCCTGGTATCATCGTTACCAAGCTCTCCAAGTTGCTCCAATATATTTTTGTTTCTTTTCACTATTTTTGTCCAACTTTTAGGTTTATACTTAAACATTATATTTCATTATATTTCCCCAAAAGTAATACTGATATTTTTTTTACAATAAGTTGGCCTTCTTACACGGCTGAGCCTTCTGTAAGTTGTGGCTCTCTCCACAAGACACCTCATAAACACCGTTGAATTAATTTTTTAAGTGGCATGAATTATAAAAAGTAAACGATATAACAAAACATGAAATAGTCTAATGAGGTGAAAGTGTGGTAAGTAAAGTACAGTACAGTACATGGAACACAGCAAGTACAGATGTACACTAAAGACTCTTGCAAGTGATGGTACTGATACAGAAAAAAAACCTGTGTTCACTTTTTTTCCTCCATTTCCTCTCTTACGCCGTTCATTTGTTTCTCTGTATCATCCTTTCTCTTTGCCACATCTGACACACCAAAGCCTGATAGATAAATAGATAGATAGATAGTTAGAATAGACGTAAACCCTCTCCTGATACAATAATAAAATTACAATGTTTATCCTAGTACATAATCTCTATTACTGTACATTAATACACAAGACACAGTGCACAAAGGCCGCCGCTGTAAACACACAAGTTTTAATCATTGTCATCCACACCAAAAATACTATAAGCACTTTTCTTATTACTGACTCCTGAGCTTCAGTAAAGGGCCCAATCGTATTACAAACCCCTGACCCCTGACTTTTAATATGAAGGTAACGGATAATTTTCTTTGCCTCATCCATTACGTTTTTTCCTGTACACCAAGGATTTGCTATGCTGTTTAAATATACCACCCTAAATGTGTCTCTCAGGTGCTTATTGAAGAAAAGTACTGTTCACAAAAGGCATCAAAATTATTATTTTTTGTTTTCATTTCAAACGGGTTAATAAAACACACTTGCTGGAAAAAACAAACTCCTTACCAAGACAGACAGACTGACAGACAAACAAGTAACAAGAGGGAGGGTGATTGAGTGAGTCAGAGAGGGTGCAAGTAACCCTGAAATCTGACTGGCACTACTCGGACCCCTCCTGCACCTGTTGACCTTGACGAGACTTAACATTCACCCAGACATATACACAAGAGATAACAGACATACGGACACCCAGTCACCTCCACACAGACACATATACAGCACATACGACAAGCAGTTATACAAATAACACACAAACAGAACAAGAACATAAAACAAACAAAAATATTATGTAAAACACACACAAACACACATACACTATGCCAACAACAATACAAATAGAGTACTTAGTAGGCTATACTGGTAACCCAAGCCTTAATTACTCACCAGGTGCATACTAGGACATTTGTTTGATGGCTACAGTAGCGTTCACCATTAGTGTATGAATACGTGCACCTAACTGGCTCTCACTTTGAAGGTAAAGCATGTAAAACAACTTACTGCAACAACATCAAAGTTACGACGAGACTGTACTTCAATAACTTATTTGTGTGATGTAGTTAAGTGTATTCTTGCATCTTCAGTCGCACGGAATATTTATCGTACGAACATTTGAGTATTTAAGAAAGCGAGCGTGGTGGACCCAAATCGTTACTACGTGCGTGCTGCTGCTAATATACCAATGGAGGGGATGGGGGTCGAGTAATACTTCAAATAGCGATGAATTAGTATTATGTATAGGTGTGGCGGCCCAGAGGAGAAGATTCCATAGGTAGACGGATACCCTGACGACCACCAACCATACTCGTATTAATCTTACCTCAGTTTAAAGACAGGGTATGATTCACTTAACCTAACCTAACCTACCTGTCTGTACTGTCAGTCGGCACACGGGCTAATATTGTTCTGGTTCAGTTCTCGAATGTGGCTGAGTGTTATGTCAACTCTTCCAAGGAAACGACCAAACGATGGGTAATATACTTGGGTCTCCCTTTTGTTTATATCTTAAGGAATGTATTTAATTGTATTTAATGGGCGTTTGTTTTAGGGCTCTAAGGTTGTCACTCAGTGTTTGTGGTCATTATTTGAGTCGTCTTATAATCTTCATCAAGCAGCCAAGTCTATTATGAGCCCTTGACAATATTTAGCCATAGATTCGCTTATCCTGTAGAGTTTTGCATAGTGGGTATTCGTACGGACGGTGGATTTTGTATGATGATATTTTGACCAGTGTAATTTAGTCCGTGTGCCGACTGACAGTGTACAAAGAGGTAGGTTAAGTACAGTACATACAAGAGCGTCAGAAATACCCGGGTGACACTTAACAACTCAATGGTTTACGGTCGTCAGGTGGAACTATTAACGGAGGCGCACAAACAGAAGTCCACCTAACTAAATACCAAAACACATTATTACAGTGTACATATTTCACACGGGACAAATTCACCTATTGGGTAAAATCCCAACATAAAAAAAAATAGTAGTGTACAATCCCACAAAATCAAACTTTATCAAGTTCCAATGCATTATCAGGTTTAGGTTAGGCTAGGTTATGTTAGGCTAAGTTACGTTAGGTTAATCTAGGTTAGATAAGTTTGGGCATTTAAATTTTATTCCGCAGTTTTTTAGAGACGTAACACACAAGGCTTGGGCATGGCTAACAGTAACGCAAATTACCTCCGGGAGTAACTACATCACCAAGGCTGTAATTGTCATGTTTCAGGGCCCAAGGGTGTACGTACAATCTCACTGGTTGAAAGGGATGACCTTCTCTAATGTGAGCGGAAGAATGACTCGACTGTGGTTGAAGTACTGGAAAATACTGCTTGTTATTCTCTCTCTCACATTTAACATCAAATAGGAGTATATTTATATGTTTTTTAAATAATTTAGCAAGTAGCTTTAAAGAACGGACGGAGAAGCAGACTGCCGACCACAGCAGGTTCGATTAAATTAAATGAGTGGTCCCAAAACTTTTAAAATCATTACCCCATTTCACACGGCTACCTTCATAATGACCCCACCTCACCTGATTCCAAAATACCTACCTGGATCACCTGAGATCATAATCATATTTACTTTTCAAAGGTAAGTTTTACTGTTCCATTTTTTTTAAAACAACACAAACAACATAATAGTAATCAGTGAGGTGGCTGGGGATTGCTAGCTGCCCAATCCGAGGTCTGACTATTGTTTTCAAGTGGAGGAAACGGGAAAAAATGACTCGCACAAGTATATCATTGATAATTATCAAATTATAATTTATGGTCAAAATTCCCAGGGCTCGCGCACAATAGGTGGGTACTTTATTTATACACCCGGTTCTTCCCTGTTTTTTTTGGGGGGGCGGAGTACCTAATTATCCCAATAAAAAGGTCAAATCACCCCCATTACCCCTAGTTTAGAAGCCAATGATATAAGATGAACTAACAAGATGTCCATCATCAATTAAATAACATGACGTCAGTTTATCCTCGCTGCCAATTTAACAACAATAACTAAGTCCTCAATACAATGGCTGATCTCGGCCAAGGCAACACTCGGTAGGATTAATCAACTGTGTATAAAGAATTTAATCCTAGTCTGGTTACAATGTGGCCAATCGGATTTCAGTTAATGCACGGAAACCATTTATCTACAGACAGGCATTCGGACGGACACCACCATAATTACATCCATCGACCGGGTTTCACTTAACGAAACAAATAAAATATACAAATATACAAACAAAATTTCCATAACTACGTAAACAAATACGAGAATAAGCTTGATCGTTATGTATAAAACTAAGCACACGATAAACACATCAGTAAATATACTAAGACAAAGGCTAATGTATAATTCCGTACACACTCCAGTCAACATAACCAAACTAACTTCATCTATCTGAAATAAACGCATCTATGCTAATCTCGCCGTAATCTACCTGACCTCAATCACCTCATATATTCGAGTACGTGCAGTATATCTCTGAGTCACGACACTGTGTTTTCTCCTTGTTTTATCCAGCCAGAGGTGTGTACATGGCATAGCGACATAATGTGAATGTTAATATACTGTACTCATATAAGGTCAAAGTCACAAGTCACACCGATCAGTGGCTCAGGTGTGGTTGTTCCATGATGATGACCTTCGCGCGCGCACACACACACACACACAACCGTAGTTCCGGTACTCAAGATCAATTATATTACTATACTGTTTTTGGACTCTGTATGATTCACGTTTCATTCTATGTTGAGTAATGTCTTAAAACTTTATGCACAGTAACAAACCAAGATAGATAATATTCACCAGCACATCCCAACCTAGTGATGAAATGGCGACACGTATTCCAGCTGTGTACCAAAGGACGGAGGCCAAACTACCGCACTCAACGGTATTGTATTTGTTCCAGGCCAGCTGGCCGTTAACTCACGACAGTCGCTGAAAATGTGTAAACAATAACTAATGACGCCGTATTCTATTATCTGCATGCGTGTGAAAAAAGTAAATAAAAAATAAATAAATAAAATAATACTACACACCATCACTACTGCACATTGGTACAAAAGAAACAATATTCCATCACTTACGTTCCCAGAAGACAACAGCAGCAGCTCCAGTAAGGTATCCGAGTTTACTGAAACACCGACTATGAGTTTTCCTAAAACTGTTCGTAGATTTCCTGTGCGCTAAAGGTTACAGCTCCCCTCATACAATAATGGCAGTGTTGTAGATGAGACGGTCTGAGTCCTCGAGACGCAGAAGTGAAATACAAGTGAGGGGTGACAACACACACTGAAGTCGGGACTTCTAGCCGGTGTGAGAGCGAGGCAGCGACTGACACCCTGGCGGTCAACACCTAGCCGAGCCAAGTATCAACAGTGGTAGCTGTGCCTTTCCTGCCCTTCCCACTTGTGTCTGCCAGCTTGTACCGCAAATTTTCCCACTAGCCTCACCTAAAAGACCTAAACTTTCACAGGGCAAACTTCACCTTACCTGAACTAATACTTGCCCCGACCTATAGCCTTACCTAACCTATAATCTAACTTTACTTAACTCAGCAACCTTTTAACATTACCTAATCTTAGTTAACCAAACCGGATCCTAATTACGTAATGTTGCTTTACCAATCCAAGCATCTCCTAGCCTTGCAAAGGATAATTAATGCCATTAATAGGATCAGTCATAAATAATTTCTATATAAAATATCTTCTCATTTTTCGCGTCAACATCACCAGAGTCGAGAGTTTTAGTGAGTACTATAGTGACTGCAGCTCGTGTCATGTTTTGTAAAAGAAATGAACTTTTCGAACACAAGAGGAATTAATCTTTGCGAAAGAGAGAGAGAGAGAGAGAGAGAGAATCATACACATATTTATCAGAAAACTCAGTAACGCCATATTATATTGCATTACTGTACAACGCATATTCATTGACACGTGTAAAAATAAATACCAGCAGTTTCATTAAGATACACACACACACACACACACACACACATTACATATTTATAAAAACAGACATCATCAACAATATACTAGATAGAATTAGCCATGCGAAAGTAAACAGCATAAACAAACAAAATCTGGGACAAGTCACGACAATGCAAACAAATATGTAAAGAAATTTTTAAGCAAATAACAAAAATAAAGTAAATGTAATGTGATAATTACTGTAGAAACAAAACAGAAAACATACAAAAAACAAACAATAAAAGCAAGTAAAGAAATGCATCAAGAGAGACAAATAAGAAAACACAAATCTGGACAGTTAAGTAAACAACAACAAATCAGGACAGGTTATCATATAAGACAAAGAGGGCTATATATAAACAAACAAACAAACAAAAACACAGAGCAAACAAAAAGCACAACAAAGAAATTAAATAATTAAATAAAATTAATCAATGGAAAATAAACTAATCAAGGCAAACAGGGGGGGGGGGGAGGGGGAAGGGGACCATCACGCGGGCGTTAGGAAAGAAAGTTCTTCCCAAGGTTCAGAAGTCTATTATGTGTCACCTATTAAAACATCATCTTGTCAGCAGCCAATACGCTCACATTACCCCTGGAATAGAGTATAGATCTAATTATTATGGTATGGTGTTTTAATAATTCCAAAATCAAATACAGTACAAAAGATACATCATACATGGCCTTAAAATCGTCTCTTTCTGTTTGATTTTTTTTTCTAAAGTGTTATTATATGGTCTGTGATAATACTCGTAGTTCTGTGTTTACGTATCTCCCACCTACCCACCTATCCCTTCACAGCTTATATTCAACATTATAATCCTTAACATCAGTCCTTCGCTCAGCAGAAAATTGTTTGAAAGCGCAGGAGTCAGGTCAGTGGATGTTGGGCAATTGAAATATACCTGCAGTTGCATCAATGAACATAATGGCCGAGCAGGTGTGTGATAACGACTGAATCTTTCGTGAAATTGCAAGATACCAATATCTAAAAATGATATATATGGCTCTTTTATAGAACTCAACTGGGTTAGGGGCCGGGGGTTGGGATAGAGGTTGGGGGTTGAGATAGAGGTCGGAGGTTAAGATAGAGGTTGGGGTAGGGATAGAGGTTGGGGTCGGGATAGAGGTTGGGGGTTAGAATAGAGGTTGGGGTAGGGATAGAGGTTGGGGGTTGAGATAGAGGTCGGAGGTTAAGATAGAGGTTGGGGTAGGGATAGAGGTTGGGGTTGAGATAGAGGTCGGAGGTTAAGATAGAGGTTGGGGTAGGGATAGAGGTTGGGGTCGGGATAGAGGTTGGGGGTTAGGATAGAGGCTGGAGGTTAGGATAGTGGCTCTTATGTAAGGAGAAATATGGGTGATGTTTGTCTCTGACTTTAATAGACAATTTGTATTATTAAGTACTGAAATAATTGCAAGAGGATCCCGTAGGCCTGAGAGCCCGTTAGTGACAGTACGGATATAGTGTGCCGCAGATTATGCCCCTTTTTTGTGCACAACGAAACAGCGTGGCCGACATTACACTTCCCCAACTGTAAAATAAAGTAACCACTCTTGCTTGGATGAACCTTAGGACTGAATCCACTCGGTCGCAGCCCTTCTAGTGGATGTTATTAAACCATTCATTGTTACAAGAATTAGTTGTATTCTATGACGTGCAACTGTTTGTCTATCTATATTTTAGTCACGCTGTAACAAGGTCGACGTAACAATCCCATTCTTCATCAATTCTAGGAACCTCCAGGTACCGTTGCCAACACATCACTGAATTCTCTATCTTTATTATGTTTGGTTGTTGTTTGGTTTGTTACGATAGTCAAGTGCAATTTGTTAATAAATAACCCATTATAAGCATGAATGCAGTGTCAAGATATTTGTGAACATCAAACCGAATTCTAACGGCCTTTATTGATGTCAAGCACTCAAGTGGTAGATCAGCCTCACCTACTGTAAGCAAGTGGTTAAACAGGTTTGGAAAGGAGCCTAGGAAAAAACATCTTTCCAGTGGGCAACAGAATATCTGTGGGGCTTCCCGACCTTAGCAGTACCTCTTCGGAGCTTTTTCTTTCTTCTTTACACAGCCAGGCATTACTGTATACCGATGATGAACAGCGGACTCTCATTTATCAAATACACAAGGGCTTTCAGATGGGCTACTGCTTACACACGTGGTCAGGGTGGAGCAACGAAACAGCGGAGCAACGGATTCAAGTTGGATAAGTTTAGGTTTAGGAGGGAGATAGGAAGAAACTGGTTCACAAATAGGGTGGTGGACGAGTGGAACAAGCTTAGCAACTTTGTAGTAAGTGCGGGAACTCTGGAAAGTTTCAAAAGGAGGCTAGATAGATTCATGGATGATAGAGAGTGGTCGTAACTCTCGACAGGAGCTGCCATGCACAGGCCAACCGGCCTATTGCAGACTCCTTATTTTCTTATGTTCTTATGTTATGTTATGTCAAGGCCGGACCCAGACCTCAAATTTGACATATTCAATTTTTAAGTTGTTGTAGATTTTCTTATAAAAAGTCTTTGGAATATTTACTCCTCATTCCGCAGCGCCACATTTTTAATATTTTACTTTTATCCTCTTCACCACTGATCGGGTCGTTAGCCGCTTGAGCGGAGGGTCACATCTCTGCTACGCACTGCTATCAAGTAGTGGGCACATGCACTGGCCCCAGGATGTATCTGAACCTGCACCAGTGTTGATCAAGTCGGGTCTTGACAGAGCTCACAGGGGTTAAGTACATTGAGGTTTAGTATAGATGGATGAATGAATTAAAAGCTGTGGTGCCGGAAGAGATAAACAGTCTGAAAGTATTGTACAGTATTAGTGAAGGCAGCCCGAGAACGTTTGGAGAGGTGAGCCATAGTCAGCAACCTTTACAGTCCCTTTACTGTACTGGACGCTACTGGGAATAAGCATCTAATGGCTTTGTCGGCTACCCTAGATCAAGTCGCCTAAATATAAATTATCATTATTATTATTTATTATTATTATCATTATTATTATTATTATTATAGAAATGAGAATGGCACCTTGAATGATTTTAAACGAAAATTATAAGAAAAATATATAAATCGAATATAAACAGAAGACATTGCTCGTCTGGAAAATAAACATAGAGAAATAAAAGACAATCAAGGTTATATATTTTTTAAACATTTTGTAATTCCGGCACCTCTATACTTGACTAATTAACTCACTTTCTGACTGACGGAGAAGAAATTTGTTAACGCTGCATAAGAATGATTCATACTAACGCGTATTCATAACTTAATAAAGGGTGTGAGAAGTGACGTAAGAGAGCGGGGGAGGAAAGGTTATGTAAACGTAGGTTGACTTTATATAACTTGTTCAGTGTTACGCAACAAAAAATAATCTAATAATAAATGATCTAAAGATTCGCCCCCCACCACTTCATTTCACCTTAAGCTTGACCACCCTAACGCTAACATAACATAACCCCTCCCCAAGTAATACCAGGGATTAATACAATAATGCAAACAGTAATGATAATAATGATGATAACAATATCGAGGTAACTAAAACAATATTAATAATAAACAAACTAATGGCAGCAATGATATTAAGAGAATCATTAATATATACAAAAGCATTAAATACCACGGTACTTAAATTCCAAGTTTATTTATGAATATTATTGTTTATTTGGTAAAGTAAATAATTTGGTTAATACAAACCAAATTGATATTAAGTAATATGTGTCACTACGTCTCTCATTCACTAGTTCGGATAAAATACTCTAGTTATTAGAGTAGGTTTTAAAAACTCTTCTTTATTTTTTATTTATTTTTTTTTTTTTTTACGGGGACCAGCCCACCCGCGCACAGGTGTTGGCAAAGTAAGAGAAACAATTGAGACCCTGCAATTGTGTGTAAATGAGGCAGAAAGGCAGATCAGCAACCTGGGACTTGGTCACAATTTTTGTGATGTCATATGACAGCAGGGTCTACCATTAGACAACACATTATGCTTCAACATCTTCCCAGGCGGTAGTACAATTATGATGTGGTATATCTTTCAATTATGATGTGGTATATCTCGACTTTAGCAAAACCTTCGACAGAGTCCCCCACGAAAGACTAATAAGAAAAGTGGAGGCTCATGGCATCAAAGGAGATACTATTCCAATAGGATTATGGCGTGGTTACAGGACAAGAAACATAAACGACATAGATATCGGCGTAGACAGCAACTTAAGTAAATTTGCTGATGACACCAAAATAGGGCATGTAATTAAATCTGACGAGGACTCCGCAAAACTACAGGAAGATCTAAACAAATTTTTCGAATGGTCTGAAAAATGGCAGATGAAATTCAATGTGGACAAATGCAAAGTTCTCAGTATAGGCGATGTAAACAGGGAA